TAAATCCTATACCCAAAATCCTAAACCCTAAACCCTAAACCCTAAATCTAAACCCTAAATCCTAAACCCTAAACCCTAAATCCTAAACCCTAAATCCTAAACTATAAACCCCAAATCCCCAAAAACTCTGGGCCGCCTCAGTGCGAAGAGCCTCGAGCAGCTTCGGGAGTCCGTTGCCTAAGACGGCATCCATCTCAATCTCCAACTCCTTGGGAGATTATTTAGGGTTTAGGAACTAAGTTTCCAACTCCTTGGGCTTGGGGCTTTACAGGGTTTATAGGGTTCTTTATAGGGATTATATGAGGATTATAGTCTCAATCTCCAACTCCTTGAGCTTTTATTAGGGTTACATAGGGATAATGGAAAAGAAAATGGAACTACTATATTATATGAGGGTATATATTGGAGCTGTAGGATCTCAATCTCCAACTCCTTTGGATGATTTGGGGTTATGAGCTTTTATTGGGGTTAGGGGTTTCGGGGTTTAAGGTTTAGGGACTTAGGGGTTTAGGCGTTCAGGGGTTAAGGGTGTAGGTCTAGGGTTGTAGGATTTAGGGTTTAGGATCTCGATCTCCAACTCATTGAGCTTCCAGGGTTGAAGGGTTTAGAGGGGTTGTAAGGATCCTTTTAAAGGGTATATAAGGTTTTTGATAGGGATTATTTATACAAGGATTATAGTCTCAATCTCCAACTCCTTGAGCTTGGGGTTAGGGGTTTAAGGATGTAGGGTCTAGGGGTAAAGGGGTTTAGGGTTTAGGGGCTAAGGAGTTTAGGGGTTCAGGGGCTTAGTTTATAATGGTTTTTTTTTATAGGGATTATATAAGGATTATTTAGGGTGTAGGGGTTTAGGGGTTCAGGGTTTAGGAGCTTAGAGGTTTAGGGTTTAGACTGCAAGTAAGAACACTGATAATAATAGTCAGGACCAGCAGAAATGAGGGGATAAGATGGGTAAGTTGGAGGGGTTTAGGTTTCAAGGCTTAGGTGTTGATGCAATCAATGCTTCTAGATTTGTTCTGCAATTCCTGCGTCTTCAGTAAATCCACTTGAAAAACACATGTATTGGTGTACGCATGCATTGGTATAGATCAGGCAAAGATACATACATGCATGCATACATGAATATGTGCAGGGTTTGGGGTTCCTGCGACAAGACCGAGGACAAAACCAGCATGAGGACGAAAACAGGGGGCGGCGAGGACGAGGAGAAAACGAAGTCCTGGTTCTGCAGTCTCGGAGGCCTCCTTCTCCATGAGCTCCAGGTCGGCGGCATATTGCCTACACTCGTGCGCCCAAAACGCAAAATCATCCAGGCCTCCTTCTGCATAATCTCCAGGTCGTCGAGATACCGCTTATATTTCGATTATAGAGATGAAGCCCAGATTCCTGGGCCCAATCTCTGACGGCGCCACACGATTTAGATCTAAGGGCCTTAGGAGCGGCCCCTAACCGTAACCATGAATCCTAA